CTTAAATTCCGATATGATGATCCATTAGCGCAGCGAGGGAGGGGGGGGTAGGGGTTCATATTCCCTCAGAACCAGACGCGAATTAGAGAATGTTAATCTGAGCGTTTTGTAATCTATAATATTTTCTCGATTTTTTAATACTCTCCCTGATTTTTATCTACCCCCCTCAATACAGAGTTCTGACTGCGCCACTGATAAGATCAGATCGAAAATACCCTAATTTTTTGACCCTATCAGTGAATTTCGGTAGAAACACCTAAGCCCATTTGCCAAAATTGGCGTCTTTTAATACCTTCTTTCGCCAAATTTTTAAATTCTGATATAATGAGATCCAGTGGCGCAGCGAGGGGGCGGTAAGGTGTTGAAACCTCATCATAACCAGACGCGAACTAAGTACAAAAAGTTAATCTAAGCGTTTTGTGATCTTTTTCTTTATGTTCTGGTTCCCACGAGAAGGGATATCCTGTAATGTTCAGAGAACATCGTGAGAACCAAGGGAAATGAGGTAGGAATTGGTGTTCTTCTTGAATTTCTTGAGGTTATATGCCTCGGGGAACACCTTCCTTGGCAATGTGTTCCAGAGCCTCGCTGTTCGTTGGATGAACAAGTCTTCGGAAAGAGATGTTCTGCAGGTCTCCAAAGTGACCACAAACGAGTGCGAAGCCTCAACTCGACGGGTTAATCTCGCGAGGACTGCCAAGGGAGGAACAATTGTTGATATTTCAGAAGAGCATCGTCCATGAAAATATCTATAAAATATAGCCAGATGAGCAAATTTTTTACGGTGTTCCAGAGTAGTGAGTGAGTTTGTGAGCGAGGCATCACCCACGAGAGGAATTGGTTTTTTTTGGACAGAATCCAACAGTTTCAGGGTATGTTTGGGTGCTGCACGACTTCAAATATGGAAACAGTATTCTATAACTATCTATAATAACTTCTCGTTTTTTTCAATACACTCCCTGATTTCTTCTCAACCCCCTTCCCAATACAGAATTCTGACTGCGCCATTTTCACAATTATTTCAATTTTTTGACCCTCTCAGTTAGTTTTGGTGAAAACGCCCATTCGCAAAAATTGGCGTCTCTAAATAACAATACCTTCGCCAAATTTTTGAATTTCGATATTATAAGATCCAGTGGCGCAGCGAGGGGGACTAGGGGTCCAAACCCTCTCAAAACCGATCGCGAACTAGAAGAAGTTAATCTAATCGTTTTGTAATCTATAATATTTCATCGATGTTTTCAATACTCTCCATGACTTTTTCTAGAACCCCCTAATACAAAATTCTGGCTGTGCTACTGATAATATAAGATAGAAAATCATCTTTTCTTGAATGGCATTCTGATTTTCACAATTATTTGAATTTTTTGACCCTCTCAGTGAATTTTGGTGGATACACCTAAGCCTATTCGCCAAAATTGGCGTTGTTAACAACTTTGGTCGAATTTCTAATTTCCGATATGATAAAACGACGATCTGATATATATTCGAAGAATATTATATTATAATTGAGCAAGAAAATTATCCATGTGGAATTTGAAGTTTTAAACTGGTAGGCTGTTGTACTTGACAAGGAAACCTTCGAAGTAATCGAATATCTGTCAAATCAATTCTGTGATTTGATTCATGTACAAATTGCGAACTTAGTAGTTGTTTTAGTAGGTTTTTTGAATAATATATAGTCGTTGACGTACCTAGTATTGTTACATCGAAAATTATTGCCACCTAAAAATCACGAAAAACGAACAAGTACGTATTCAAGATTCATGGAATGGAAGATTGAAAATACATGCTGGCACAGTTTTCTGTTTCAACAACAACAAGAACCATCAACAGTGTATATACAAGGTGTTTTTGAAATAAGTGCACATATTTAGCACATTAATATGACACAGTCTAAGGAATATTCCCATTATATCAGATTTTTTCTAATTCTTCTAATTAACGAGAAATCTCATCCCAAAAATTGAACAGAATACGAGAAAAAAATCAAGTAAACCAATTTTAATGATTGAACTCCGCGTAATTATGCCTACCGCATGAAAATTTGAACAGAGGTGACGTCAGATTTGCTATAGTGTAGAACTTTGGGTGGAACAAGGGGTCTAAATTTTATTCTGATCCCTTATTTTTTTTTATTAGTGTCATTCGATAGTAGGTACACGTCGAGCTTCCTCAGTGTTTGAAATATTTGCACTTATTTCAATGCCACCCTGTATATACAGTCTCACGAATATTCCCAAAATATCAAGCTTATATTATATATCAGGGAAAAATTGAGTGTTCGTTTTTTTTTTCGGGGGAAAGTGATTTTATAAAAAGTTTTGTTACCTATCAACAGATATAACATATATGTCAAACTTCTTTCCCGTCACAGAAAAAACATTATATTCAGGAACAGGTTTGAAATGAATGAGGGATAATGTTATTGACATTTTCTGAATTGATAAAAATGAGTTTGAACACAAAAAATATAATATAAAAACTTGATAAAAAATACGTTATATGACGAAGGATTACGTCGGTATGACAGCAAGTTCACTGTCACAACGCGTTGATAAAAAATCACATCAACATGGTTTCGATTAAGTACCTCTACGTCTCATGCATAAGGGTATTGAAAACGTTTCTTCTATGAAATAGTTGAAGTAAACATCTATGACATCTATAAAAGATCATGCCTTTACGGAAAAACTACACCAAACACGAGACCAAACAATAATTACGAATTTTCGGTAGAGTCTGAAGTCAAGTAAAAGTAATTAAGTCCAAATAAATAAATAATACAAAAATTGGTTTGAATTCTTTATTTCTACTAGTTTTCCAAAATAAATTTCCTGAACTGGCAACACAGGAAGAGGACTTATGACGTCAGTACTGGAAACGAGTTTGCCGCCGAAACGCTATGTTTGAAAGTGCCATGAAATTGAAGGGTATAAAATAAATAGTACATTATACATCAAGGGACAGAAATGCAAGATTTTTTCCAAGGTGCGAAGAAAAAATAGCATTCTGACCTGCTGTGGTGTATATACTATATTTTTACGCTGGCGAAAACACAAAAATTAAGAAAGAATAAAAATTTGGTCAAAGTGTTTTGTCATAATTAGTAGTAGTATAGTTTGTGGAATATCTTGACAACATGCATCTTGTTGACAACCCATGAAGACAGCAAATATCAAACTGAAATTTATGAAAACAGCTTTGAAAATGGTTAACGGTTATGGAACAAGAAATCGAGGGAAAACCCCAAGAAAATATAGATACTGCTCTGCAGTGATTCTTAAATTGTTACCAGTGAGATCTAGAAATCTGTATGATGCAGCTTATACTCGCTTCAGAGAAGGGTGTTCCGAAAAGAAAGCGCAGAGCTATGCGAAAAATATAACGTTGGTCTAGGGAATAATACGAGACTTCTGCCCCTCATTTGTTACCAGAGAAACTAACTTCTACTGCCGCCGGCGTAAAAATGCTGATTTTGGAGGTATCACAGCATATCTTATCATAAAAACGACTTCACTTCTATATTGTTTAATGCACATTTAAACTGAATTTACGCTTTTGTCACAGTTGTGCACTTGCATTATTTCTATACCTCGATCTCTACCCACCGATCTTTAGAGGGATGGCCCCCAATCCGTGAAGTCCGTCTGTATAATAAAAAGATTTTTCTTACTATACATATTTTATTCAGACATCTCATAACTGATGTTTACAATAATTACCGTAGAATAGGGATACTTGGAACATTTTTCAGTTACAAATAGTTATTTATTGTAGGGAATCTCACCCTATCCTAAAAGATGTACATATTGCTTCACTATAAATATACAAATATTCATATTTGCCGGTTCAGTCGTTAGGAATATATTTTGAAAAAATATCGATGTTCCAACTCACGCGCAGATTCGAAAACTTGGAACAGGAAAACAAGTCCCGTTGTAGTCAATTTATCGACTCGTGGGCATACTTCATGGGTAAATAAGTATTTGTTTTAGTGTTATCTAAATTAATCGGGAATCAGTTTGTGATTAAGTAATCCAATAAAAAAATAATTCAAAGAGAATACCTACGTTATATAACGAACACTGGAACCTTTGGCACGATAATACACTACACTGTTTTACTACTTACCACTTCCGTTAACTATAATATGTTAGCATCTTCAGGAGAATAAGATCTCCGAGGCGTATAAAAAATTGGTTTGGTTAGTGGTGAAACAGGGTAGTGTAGAATATACATTATACCTAGCATTATTATGAATGCATTTCATTAAAAACTGAAAAATTAGGAAGAATAGGAATAGTAAAATCTCATTCAGCAAAAAAAACTTGAAAATGATCCCTTTGGTGGTGTTAGTGGGGAGTTGAGTGGGTTGTTACGGGGTGGTGGACGGGGGAAAAGGTCTTATCAGGTACCTATTATGATCACAAACAGATAATTAGTACAATAATTCGCGCCTGTTCCAAGTTTTCGGCGAATTTTTCCAACTCTGACTTCCGTAATGAAAAAAAAATATTGGCAACCGATTGGCAAGACTGTTCAAAGTTGAGCAGTGATATCGTGGTATATCGATAGCGAATTGGCTACTAAACATCATGTCATTTGACTTGAATCTTTTGATGCTATTTTTTCTGTCATATCCCTGCTTATAGTTCCAATATGATAAACAGCATTCTTAAAACAATATTTGAAGGCCACTTATTTTTAATCGACTAGTATATAACTATACAACTATGCACGATACGATGTTTCAAGATGAAATCAGCTGTAGATTCAAGGAAGTAAATTGAAAATATGATGTTTTCTTCCAATTTAGCCTGCAGTTCCAAGTTCTTCCATTCTACGGTATGTCACTAGTGTTGAATATTTCAATAATCATTTATAATAGCTCATAACAGTTGAATGTTCATAATACCATGTTAAAGCCATAGACGCCACAGACCAATGATTATGATGAATTAAACTATAATATTATGTTGATTTAGTTCAGACAAGTTTTATCTTCTAAAATGGGTCATCTGATGTCTGGCCCATTCATTGCTTTTTTTGAAATTATAATCACATAAATTACACCAATACAGTGTTACTTCTTGATGAAAAGTTTGTCTATGTTTCCTCAAATCCACAATACTTTTACAAGCAGCATTACAATAATTGCATTTAAGTAACAGATTGGAGTGCCGTTTCAAATGATTTTTATATGAGAAGGTATTGCACAAGATTCTACTGCAAATTTTACACTTGAGCTTACTTTTTTCTATTTTTATCTTATTTTCACAAAATTTGTTATGTAATTTATAACAATTTAATGTTGTTAAAGTTTTATTACACTTTGGACATTTTATCGGAGTATTTTTAGATACTGTCCAATAATTCTTTGACATGTGAGACTTCTTAAAACGATTTACTGACTTTGATGCATTAATTCCTGTTTTAATTCTTGAATGTTGTGAATTATGTCTGAGTATTTCCTTGCGATTTTTAAAAGTGACGTCACACAGAGGACAATGATATGTATTGTTTATAAGGTGATTACTAGTCATGTGTCTCCCTAAATCTTTCATGGAGAAAAATTTACCCCCACACAATTCACACTGTATATATTTGTTTTTATCATGAATGATTCTGTGGTGTATGAAGAGCGCCTTTTTTGTCATATATTGCCCCTCACATATCTTGCAAGTGAACTTTTTGACCACTTTAGCATGGTACTTCTGGTAGTGCCTGTACAATTTATGTTTCCCCAATTCAAATTGCAGACAGACTTTGCATTGTAATGCCTTGTGGCACCTTATCAGGTGTTTTTTCAGCCCGTACTGTGAATAATAATCATAGCACAAGTGACATTGATCAGTTTTCTCCATGTGAACATGCAAGTGCCTGAATACATTTTGTATTGTTTTGAAAGACTTTGGACAGAATTTACAACTGAATAGCTGGGATGTTTTATCTTCATATTCTTCCTTGCTGTATTGCATGTGTTCTCTTTTATGATCAGAATAATCAGATAAATTCATTAATACATCACCACACAAGAGGCACTCATATGTAAGATTTTTATTGCAATGCCTCTTTTTATGTTCCTCAAATTCATCCCGGTTTTTAAATACTAATGAACAATTGTGGCATTCTCTTTTAAATTTAGCACTGACAATCTCTTTTACTGAATGTTCTTTCTTTCTATGATTCTTCAATGCTCTCATACAAGAGAACTGTGTTCCACATTCTTTACAATCAAAAGTATTTAATGTTTTATGTGTTCTCTTCATATGCCTATTCAAACTAGAATTAGTTGTGTACTTTCCTTCACATATATCACACACATAATCTTTTATCCTAGTATGAGTCACTAGATGGCTTTTCAATGCACCTAATACTTTGAAAAGTTCTCCACACACTTCACATTTGTGGGGCCTTTCCCCTGTATGTACCCTGATATGCAGAAGAAGCCTTCTCCTGGTTCCAAACTTTTTCTGGCAATAGGTACATACACACTCTTTCTCTTTATCTTCCTTCATCTTGGATCTAATATGATCATTGATGTGAGAAATGAATTTTCTCTTTTGTGTGAAACTAGTAGCACAAACTGGGCACAATCTTTTTTCATCATGAACAGCTTCGTGAATTTTTAGGTAATCTGCTTTTCTATATTTGTTCAAGCAGGTAACACAATGATGCAAATTGTACTCTTTTCTTGAGTTCTTGTTTTGGTCACTACCAAAGTTCCCAGCATAGTCCTTTAAATTCACAAAATCAGGGACATCATCTACTTCTTGTTTGATTTCTAATTTAATTGAACAAGGTTTGCTTTCATCCTCAATTTTAATACTGTTCTCCATAATTTGAATTATTCCAGCTGATGATTTTTCTAATGAAATCGGTGCAGTTCTTCTTCTTCTTTTTTTTAGTTTTTGGTTTCTTTATTTTTAGGTTATATAACCAGTAAACCAGTGTTGCCGCTTGCCGCGTTTCAGGAGTTGAAGAACAAAAAAGCGCAATGCTTCGAACATAAAAGCGCAATTTTGACTACTATCTAAATCGCTAGTGGTCATATCATATCACAGAAACCCGAAAATCCTATCCAAATTGATCGCCAGCAGATCACCATAAAACGCTTCTGCTCAACGAGCAGGGAACCTTCAAACCCCAAACTGTCGTTCATGACATTGACTCATGTGATGATGCTCGTGTAGTTATTTTCCTACGTCATTCTTGAGTTCTGGCTTTTGTCAGACCTCAAATTTTGCCCATGAAGCTAATTTGCTGCGCCTTGGCGATTTTGGCACACAAGTCTGAGATTTGTGGAGTTCATCCATGATCGTTAATAGCGTAAGCGTAATTTATCAATCAACAGCGCTGCGTTAAGCTACCTACACATTTCGAAACTATTTACAAGGAGCAAAAGCGTTATTATTAACGAAAAATCGCAATGACGCTAAACGGAGTTGAAAAGCGCCATTATATTGCGCTTTTGTGCCTCATTGGCAACACTCACCGACTTATATTATATCTAGACCACTATAGTCATATCTCAGCAACCCAAAAATCTCGGCGAAAGTTCAAAATAAGGAGAAGGAATTACTTGTGTTGGCTTGTTTATCACAAGCAGCAGAGCAGCATGATTCATGATAATAATAATTACTCGCGAGATACATTTATGGCAACACTGTTTATAACGTGACAGTGAAAACGACAGCTAGATGACAATTGACCACCAGTTGACATAAATCCATGAATGTAAAACTTAGATCCTTTCATACAGGAAGTATGAAGAAAATATAAGATAAATATAAACTGTTGATTGTTAAAACCAGAGAACTTGAAACATTGGAAATGACTGAACGAAAATGGTCGGATCATCGAACTCAGGACGTCATCGTGGCTGCCATGTGGATTCTAACGTGACTTTGTTTCTGTTTTTTGTGAAATTGTGAATTTTATATTTGTTTCTAATACACATCTCACAATAAACACCTCCGAACCATCAGACCATTTTGGATAAAATTTTCCATTTGAAACTACATGAAATGGACAGGCAGAGTAGTTGAGGCTGCCTGTCTAGTTTATCAATCTTTACTCTTCTTCTTCTCATTCAGTCAGCCATTTGGATCGTGCTATATGTTTCATCCCATCGGATATAATTTATGTTTGTAGACAATTCCATCAGATATAAAACAAGAAACGTCTACCCGCCATTGAATAAAAGTGGCATGAGCTTGTAGTACAAAAAGCACATTAGGTTAAAGCAATCATGCCTTCGGAGTGTTTTGTACCTAACTGCAAAAATACAGTAGGCATTCCTTTTCCAGACGATGAAGAACAAAAACAGAAATGGTTGGATGCTTTGAATATCACGGATTTAATTCCGGCAACAACAAGCTTTTTGTGTTCAGATCATTTTGAAGATGCAGATAAAGAAACCGAAAATGAAGGTAAATTAGACGTTGGGAAGCAATATATAGCAAACTTTTCACTATAATAATTATTGCATTTATTGCATACCTGAGTACCACTTGTTTTTTGTGCTTTAGACCTGACTCAGGAAAAAAATCAAGGTTCTAACAATAAATCAAATTCTGAAGATGAAACAGAGAAGTCTCAGAACCAGAAGCAAGAGTCCAATAAACAGAATAGCCAGGAGGAAACCAAAGTTAAATCAGAAGTTCCAGGTAATTTTTAACTCTGACATTTTTTATTGTTACTAATGAAAATGGAGCAGTGCAGTGTCAACCATATAGGCATGCCTGTGGTAGTTTTTTGGCACTGGAACAACTAAGAAACAAAAAATCATAATGCTTTCATGATATCCATTATATATTTCTAGTTATTTCCCATTATCAGTGTGTGAAGTAGATTTATTGAGTTTTGATTTTGCACAAACTGATGGGTAGATATGTAATTGTGTTTTATCATTGAATTTCAGAAGTGATCATGTTTGATGTGGACCTAAAAACATGTAGATTGTGTATGATAGAAGATATCAATCTTCTCAACATATTCGAAGCAGAAGTTGTTGAAAATGTCCCGATTTTGGTGTCAATTTTAGCTTGTATCCATCCAATTGAGGTAGGTATTTGAACAAATAAGTGTTGAATGAAGGAATGCAAAGGATATCTGTGAATCTAGAGAGTAGAAATAAAATATTGGTTCTCATTGAGGTTATTCCAAATCTTTTCTGCAATGTGCTACAACTGCTCCTAAAATCTCTTCCACTTTATATAAAAAATTGGAGACCCCTTCAATTATTATGATGAAAGTGTTCAAATAGGAACAAACCTGCCTTTGAGTTGTAGCTGAATGATATAAAATATCAATTTCCATACTTATTGTGGGTATATCCATCATTATTTATCATAAACAACTTTAGAATACCTGAAAAGAAAGTTCCTATCTTCCTGATCCTGATGGGTATTGTTATTTATTTTTGAAGACCTGAGAAAAAAATTGCTCAGCACATTTTATTTGACTTTCCAGCCTTGAAATACTGATAGGAGGACTATTAAAACACAAATGATTTCAGGTAATATCTATTGGACCACACTCAGACACAGATATCTAATTCAAATGTGTCACTTCTGCTATCTCTGATTCACATTCTTCAATGGTTACATTTATATAACAAACCTGACTAATATCTCTAGAAATATTCCAATATTATACTACTAGACTATACACAATAGTTCAAGTAGTGCTACTATGAACTATTTATAAGAATAATGATACCTGGTGAACATTATAACATTGCTAATATATAAATATACCAATAATATTGATTTGAAACTAGAATGAATCACTAGACAATCAGAAATCTCCTATAATGATTTGACTATATACAGGGTGTATCTTGATAACACCGAGAAAATTCAAGGGGTGTTTCCTTTTGTGACATTCTAGCAAATAAAGTTCATATAAAAATGTGTCCTAACTTGCTCCGTTTTTGAGATACAGGATGTTGATGATGTTATCCCCCCCTATATAAGCTTTCATGGTGCCAAAATTCAGTATGGATGGAGACTGAGAAAGCCCCAAAACTTCAAAATAATTGTAATTGGGGTTACTGAGTAATCTCAATGGAAGTCTTGAGAACACCTACATTGAATTTGGAGTCAATAAATCTCTGTCTCTCTCTAGCTTCACAATTCTTATTCATGCTACTTCATTTGAACACTCCCTGAATAGGGTATACAAATTGTTTATTGAATCGTTACATATAGAAGTATTAAAAAAAGATCGCATTGGCAACATGGCCAGTTTCGGAGAATTGTGGTTGTTTCACTGTGGTGGATAGTGTTGCCAGATCTACCATTTTTGCGTTAGATCTAACGTTCTAACGCAGTGTCAATACTGTCAATATCTATCTATTTTCTTTCATATTATTATATTCAATTTTATTTATACGGGAATAAAAACTCATAAATGAAAATAATAATAATATACCGGGTGACACAGGGTGTCGGGCCACCCCTGTATCTTCTGCATTAGTAAACGGATTTTTCAGAAATATGGTACAGTTTTATAAGCAACCATTTCGGATTTGATGGCAAATACAATCCCAATATGGCGGACTTCTGGTTTTTCTGGAAATGCCACCAACTTTGTTTTTTCAAATGGAACACCCTGTATATTTTCACATATTCAAGTTCAACAGGCCAAAACAAGTACAATCTTTATGTCAAATGTAATTTTTTCGATAAAATCTAAAATAAAATTGTTTTTATATTTTACCTCGTGGATAAATGGGATGTGGTGCTTTGATTGTACATCAAATGGCCAAAAAATATATGGGGTGTTCTATTTGAAAAACTCGAGAAAAATCACTGTATGATTTGAGGGTATTGAAATTCTTCAGAAATATCACGCATCTCTTTTTCAAATGATATTATGATTATTTTTTCTTGAAGTTCATAATAATTGTGACGACAGTGATTTTTTCGGTATGCATCTGCAGATAACATTATTTCGACAAAAAAATTCATCTTTGATATACAATTTAGATCGAGATATTGTCAACGATATTATAGGGGTGGATGGAGGTCATAGGGATGCTTCAAAAAATGTGCTGCTATACAGAGCATTCCATTAAAAAATGATCCCGATCCTCTAGATTGTTTTTGTTGCGCTCTGTATATGCGGCGATAATTTCTAGTCATGGAGTCTCCACATTCGTTTGTGAATCAAGTTTCTAGCTGTCATAGAACTCGAGCAATCGATATCCGACTCACTAATGCCCCACCCCGTATATCTACTCTTTTTTATGTCTCTCGCTCATCTCATTCTTGACCTGGCAACACTGGAGGAGAAGTTCGATAACCAATGAACTCAAAATAAACACGTGGAAGGGATACGGCCGGTTTCTCGAATAGAACTATTAGTGTGTCAGGGGCAGCTGCAACAAAGATAGCTTGTGTTACGGTAACCTGTCTCTTTCACACTCGTGTTGTTTAATGGCGGATTGGTGTATACATGTTCTTTTATCTAATGATTTTGGAGTACTTGAGATTTTTTTTTCTAAACAGGCAAAAAAGTGAAGATGAAACTTTATTGTTTTTTGTTATGTGAAATATCGCTTAATTTGGCGTGTTTTGTTTCTTCATAAAGGACTGAATTTTGGATTCGACTTTTGGCCACGGTAGGAGAAACAGGCTAATAGTCAGGTTAATGTGTGTGCAAGTCCAACATTTTCTAATTACCTGATCTGGATTGAAATCCAATATTTAATGTGAAGTTTAAAAAGTGTGTGTGAGAAATATCAGGCTCTTTTATCTCTACGCCTGTATAGAGGCCGGATGATGACGGATTCATCGGATAAGGGGGCCATACTTGAAGTCAAACGTGCTCCATTATCTCTACGCCGGTAACCAGGCCGGATCAGCAACGGATTTGCTGGATAAGAGGAGTACATACGATCGATCGTATGAACACTGATGACTCGGCTTCAGGCCATTGTGATAGACAACCGGTGTCTTATGTGGCGAGTCGAGTGATAATATTATTACATAACCAAGTATTTATTCTTGAAAAAAATTGATTAACGGATCTGGAGAAACTGTTACCGAAAGGAGACAGAAATCCAATAAACCTAAAGAGGAGAAGAAGAAGGACTGAATTTGTTGATATGAATTGATTATTGTTGAAAAGATTTGTGATTTCGAATTAATAAACAATGGTTATTTATATTGTGTTGCCTTTGGATGCAAAATGAGCAAGGCAAACAGAAATTGTCCTCCATGGGTAAGTTGAAAATTGCTCAAATTCTTAGAAAACTATAGTAATTTATTATCAGAATGTGTCTGTGGATGTTCATAACTTGGATTTTAAGGACAATGTTTTTCATATGAACATCGATTTGCTTACAACTTCCAGCAGCCTAGTTACTTTAGCAATAAAGTTCAGCAATATTTTTTATTTTTTCCGTTACGCATTCTGCGATAACAATTTTCCAGTATGTTTATTGAGGATACTCAAGGAAGAAATGTACTAATCGAAACAGATTTTCCGGATGTCCAGGGCCGGCCAGGGGCCAGCAATATTTTATAACTTTCTTATTAGGGATCCTGCCACTTACATATTTCCGTATGTCATTCGGAAAGACAAAACGAAGAAATGTACAGTATCAGAATATTTAATCCGGGCGTCCAGGGCCGGACAGGGGCCAGCAATATTTTATAACTTTCTTATTAGGGATCCTGCCACTTACATATCTCAGTTTTTTATTCAGAAAGACAAAACGAAGAAATGTACAGCATCAGAATATTTAATCCGGGCGTCCAGGGCCGGACAGGGGCCAGCAATATTTTATAACTTTCTTATTAGGGATCCTGCCACTTACATATTTCAGTATGATATTCAGAAAGACAAAACGAAGAAATGTACAGTATCAGAATATTTAATCCGGGCGTCCAGGGCCGGACAGGGGCCAGCAATAATTTATAACTCCCTTATTAGGGATCCTGCCACTTACATATTTCAGTATGTCATTCGGAAAGACGAAACGAAGAAATGTACAGTATCAGAATATTTAATCCGGGCGTCCAGGGCCGGACAGGGGCCAGCAATATTTTATAACTTTCTTATTAGGGATCCTGCCACTAACATATTTCAGTATGTTATTCAGAAAGACAAAACGAAGAAATGTACAGTATCAGAATATTTAATCCAGGCGTCCAGGGCCGGACAGGGGCCAGCAATATTTTATAACTTCCTTATTAGGGATCCTGCCACTTATATATTTCAGTATGTCATTCGGAAAGACAAAACGAAGAAATGAACGGTATCAGAATATTAAATCCGGGCGTTCAGGGCCGGACAGGGGCCAGCAATATTTGATAACTTTCTTATTAGGGATCCTGCCACTTACATATTTCAGTATGTCATTCGGAAAGACAAAACGAAGAAATGTACAGTATCAGAATATTTAATCCGGGCGTCCAGGGCCGGACAGGGGCCAGCAATATTTTATAACTCTCTTATTAGGGATCCTGCCACTTACATATTTCAGTTTTTTATTCAGAAAGACAAAACGAGGAAATGTACAGTATCAGAATATTTCATCCGGGCGTCCAGGGCCGGACAGGGGCCAGCAATATTTTATAACTCTCATATTAGGGATCCTGCCACTTACATATTTCAGTATGTCATTCAGAAAGACAAAACGAGGAAATGTACAGTATCAGAATATTTAATCCGGGCGTCCAGGGCCGGACAGGGGCCAGCAATATTTTATAATTTTCTTATTAGGGATCCTGCCACTTACATATTTCAGTATGTCATTCAGAAAGACAAAACGAGGAAATGTACAGTATCAGAATATTTAATCCGGGCGTCCAGGGCCGGACAGGGGCCAGCAATATTTTATAACTTTCTTATTAGGGATCCTGCCACTTACATATTTCAGTATGTTATTCAGAAAGATAAAACGAAGAAATGTACAGTATCAGAATATTTAATCCGGGCGTCCAGGGCCGGACAGGGGCCAGCAATATTTTATAACTTTCTTATTAGGGATCCTGCCATTTACATATTTCAGTATGTCATTCAGAAAGACAAAACGAAGAAATGTACAGTAT